AACCGATCCTCTTCTCTCATAGATTGGTTTGGATGTGCTGAATTTTATACCACATAATACAACTTCTTCTGGGAGATGCAACAACACATCTGCCCTCTTGAATCTGACCTTTGAGAAAACAAGGGTTATCTTCCACTTTGCATTGGTAAGAGTCTCAAAACAAGCTGTAGGGTCTGCAGGACTTTTCATGTGGGAAAACTGACTGGGGCAAGTAGGAGAGAAAAAAGATGCAACTGAAGGAAGAGAAGTAAATACTTCCTTTGCTTTTAATACTAGGATTTAGAGGGTTTCACACTTGGTCACCGTTGTGAGGAAAGAATATGTATGTATGCACACATACATATGTATGCATATATGTATTTTGTTTGGAATGAGAATTTAAGATTGTATTACTACTCTAAAGCTTCTTGCCCAGCCTGGGCAACTGCCTGTGACAAGTAGGCATCTCACTTAATCGTACAAGCCTGGAGCTGGATTTAAGTCCACATTATTATTCTGGGCACAGCCCAAGGGCTACATGTGCCTGTCTTATGGTCGCCTATGGTGGTTGGGAGTTCAGTTTCCCACAGCCCTGCTCCAGTGCTATATTAGTACTGTGTACCCTTGAGGATTGAATGCACCATGTTTGTTAGAGCTTCACACTCCTTTTAATACTTGTGGGACTGATCAAATTGCAATCACCTTGACCTGTTATTATTGAATGAGCCTCTACATCTCTGTGGTGTACTGACCTGCTTCAAAGCTGCATCTGTACCACAGGTGAGATCACTGTACTAACCTGGTTAAGGCATGGGCAGGACTATGTCAGCAGCCTTAGGGGTGATGGTCCCATTTGCTCTGCATTCCTGTCTCCCCCAAAGGAATAGTTCCTCAAGTGCAATGAAGCTCTTCTTCTGGATGTTAATCCCAATTGTGGACTATCTTTTGAAAACCTTTCTCAAAACGCATGCAGAATTGACCCTGAATGTTAACAGCTTATGTTGTACATCATTAGCTTAAATGACAACTACTGGCTTGTTTTTTTTTCTTTTCTTAAAGAATGCAACTGCTGAAAAATTCTTCCTGCAAGGTGTGAATGTGAGCACAACTCTCCCTTCTGAAGCAAAAGGTAGGGACTTTTAAGAAGTCTACCTTCAGTGACTAATACTATAAATATTAAGGGTTGTTTGCATTAAATAATGTGTTAGAAATGTTGGGGATGAATGTATCAAATTTAAAGTCTACAAGCTTACAGCTTCTGCTCTTCAGGTTTCTGTAATAAGACTTTCTCTTACGCAGTCCCAAGATTTGAAGCATCAAACAATAGCATGAGTGAACTGAGAGCTACAGTAGGGAACTCCTACAAGTGTAGTGCAGAGGAGAATCTCCAGGTCACGGACAAAGCCCTGGTCAACGTATTTAATGTTCAGATCCAGGTGTTCAAGATTGATGGAGACAAATTTGGGGCAGGTAAGATGTTTACATTTTGGGGCAGGGAACCTAACAATTGTGGAGTACACTTTAATATAAACGTATTATTCTGTAGTCAAATGTCAGCTTGTGGGTGTGTTACGCTTAGTCTCTGTGTGCCCTACTACAGATGGGGTGGTGGCATGGTAAGAGGTTGTGAGCTGAGGCTAGCATGAGAAGTATGTAATAAAAAGCTTTGAAATAACTAGGACTTCTTCCATATGGTCCAGAGAAGAGCTAAGGAAAAGCGTTAACTTTCCCTCATAACTGTGTACAGAAAGTCATATGAAAAGGGCAAGTTCTGGGAAGTTACCAGCTCTTTTAGTTAACGCTGTCCTTTGTGATTGTGATTAAAGCAAAATAGCTGTGGGAGGAGTCACATGAATATATTTGTGACAGCTATGCTTGTATATAGCTAAGAGTAATAGCTCTTGAGAAGGCAAGAATTACTCTAGATCTCTATATTGTGCATACAACTGGTATGAGAAGGACTTCATCCTGAATGATCATAGTGAACTTAGCTTCCTTTTGGTTGTTGGCAAGTTAATCCAGATGTGAACTTGAGCCAGTTGTAGCTATGTGCCGAGAGCAAAAGCCTGGAGTTCTGGATGTAGCCATCTGTTGGTGCACTAGTGCTTAACATGGGTCTTTTTCTCTCTCTCTCCAGTGGAAGAATGTCAGCTGGATGAAAATAACATGCTGATCCCTATAATAGTTGGTGCAGCCCTGGCTGGTCTTGTTCTCATTGTCTTGATTGCTTACTTGATTGGCAGAAAGAGGAGCCATGCTGGATATCAGACAATTTAATGACTTGCACTAAAATCCAGTGTAGATGAAAAGCAATTGCAAGAGGCTGGGAAAACTCCCCCACACATTTCCCCTGAGCTAAGATTGATATTATAAGGGAACACCTTTTCTTGCAAATTGCTTCTTCTTTAAAAGTCTGCTTTATTAAATGTGAAATCATCTTGCAGCATTTAACTATGCACAAAGAAAATAACTTCTGAAGATTCTGGTGTTTAATTTTTGCTAACTAGTTGAAATATTTACCCACTTAGAAACAAGCTGAAAGTTTTTAAAGGTGCTTTTTTGCGGAATTGGCATAAGGTCACGTCAGCTAAAGATTCCAGAGAGGGATGTTGCTAATTCACACTGACTCACTTTCAGAACTCTTAACAAAGGGAAAAGGTTTGTTCTTTGTACTGCTACCATCCAGTGATGATGTTAATTATACTGATGATGCATTTCAAAACGATTTAGTAACAACTGACAAAATTGAAGTTTAAAATCTAAACTCCACCTGGTCTCTTAGGTGTGTATTTTTTACTAAGCTTTAAACGCAATGCCTGGCATATGCAGGGTGTGAATGATGCAATACTCAAACCTTACAGGAACTCTTTATGATTGGACAACTCCCCTGTTTGATATTTTTGATGCTACCCAGCTCATTAGGAGCTGGTACTTTTTTAAAATGGGTGTTATTTTTATTTACTTTTTTTTGTAAAGTGATTTCAGTCTATTCTGTTGGAAGGTCCAGAGAGATCCTGTTACTGCACACATGTACAATATAGATCTCGATCTGCTGATTCTCTTGCTTTAACCTTGACTGGGGGGCTGTACACTTTAAGGATCAGTTCTTATGTATGCATTGCCTGTAACAATGCTAATAAAGACACTTTTTTTCTGTATATCTTAGTATTGCTGGTCACTGTTTAACCCAGTGGTCAAGTGTTTAAATGCTGAAGTTTTGGTTTGGCTCTACTTGGGGAGCTTTAAACAAATCCTTAGTGTGGAGTTATGTTAAACAAGTGCTTAAGTTGTTTCTCTGTGGCACTAAAGCGAGGCTTAACTCTGTATGCGTCTTTGGAACAGTCCCTTGATTTGGACTTTGTGCTTGGAAACAGGTAAAGTTTCTGCATATCAGTAACCCAAGACTTGGAGAAGTTAACTCATCCATTAAATTACTTGTTATTGAAAAATGTCATTGCCTTCTGAAAGCGCTGCCAAGATACTCAGTATAAGGACTGAGGAAGTGATAGTTTATGTTTTAATTTGAAGTTGGATTCTCACCACAGAGTAGGAGGTGCATGTCTGCTGAGCTCTGTGTGCACTGTGATGTGCTGGAAAGGAACCTCGGTGTTTAAGCTTCCCTGATTTCCCTCCTGCAGTATTGTTTTGGTGTTAACAGTACTACCTATGCAGGGCAGAATCAAGGCATGCTGAAACATTGCACAGAACACTGCTCTTCTGATAAGGAGAACTGAATGCAGGGCAGTAAGGCTGGTATGCTGTGGGTGGGCCCTGCTACCTTGAAGGTACCTGGAAAGTGTGGATTTTGCCAGTTGTGAATAAACTAGTATTTCCTAATACCTGCTGACAGACTGTAAGCATGGTACTGCATATATCCTTATAATTCAATATGCAAGCAGAAAGCTGTCTGTCTGGTACCATAAAGAATAGGATAGCTTGGAATCATACTGTTAGTAGCCGTCTTTATTTGTCTAGAAGAGCATTCATCTATTTCCTGTGAAAAATTGGTATGTTCTTTTTTCCCTGCTGAGGAATGAAAGAAATTCAGTCTGCAGGGAGGAAAAATATAAAGCCTTCCTTGACAAAGCATGAAGGTAGCTTGGAGAATAGTCTGAAAAGGAGGGTGGTGTCAAAAGGTGAGACTTTCAACAATACTTGTTCAACAGGCAGAATAAAACCCATGAACTAACTGGTCTCGGGTGTCTTTCCTCCCGAGTGGCAGTAAGGAAAGGATTTGGCCACGAGAGGGCTCTGTAAGGACAAGAAAGCAATTCACCGGCCCTGGCTCCAGCAGGGCTGGAAGTGGTCTAGTGCCGGGGTAGGGCTGCTGCATTGCTTGTTTCTGCCCAGGGGTAGGAGATTTAGATTCGCGTTAAAGGCCCGATGTCTCACTCTGTCGAGGAAAAAGCCTGTTCATGGCTGTTTCTCCCAAAATGTTTAGGTACACAGTATAAATATGAGTAGTGCAACCTCAGTACATCAGTACATAGAAGTACAGCATCCCTTAAAACAAATCTAGAAATAGCATTTCTTATTTTAAGTAAAATTTTGACTCACTTGATTAATTTGAGCCACTTTTTACCTACTGTGCTAGAGAGAGAAAACCCTGAATAAGCATATAAACTGTTAAGAGAGATTATAGAGGAATTGTTTCTGCAGCTTTCCATAGCCTGGACTTCAACATGTTCCCTGCTGCCTTTACCTGAAGAGCTGTTACACACTGCATAGAGTAATTGCTAGTGAAGATAAAGGTTGCGTTCCTCATTGCTGTCTTGCCCTGCACTTTGCCGCTGGAAGGAAAAAGGGAGATGTTTGTATTCCAGCCAGGAATGAGATCAGATACTTTACTCTCTTCACACCAAGAAACAGGTTCTGACAAATTAATTTATTTTGTACAAATGACAGCAGTGTCACAGTTACACAGTAGGAAGTATATGCGATTTTGTACACCTGCTTTAACATTACAAAATGCCCTGTGACTTTTTTAAAAGGGGTATCCTGACAGTGATCACGTTCTATTCTGAAAACACTTTAAAAACAACAACAGAGTCACCAGTTCCAGTTACTAAGTCTGACATACATTACACAGTGTTAACAAAACTTACTTGAAAGGCAGGAAAAATTGGTCGTGTCAGTTAACCGATGGAAAGCTTAAAGTGTGCTTTAGTCAGTGCAAATAGAGGAATGTGGCAATTGCTGTAGTATCTGACTACCTGGTTAAATGGGGTGAGTTATCCCTGAGAAAGTAACTTCTCTCTGCAAGTCTCTCGGAGTTTGTTGATTGTTGCCATGGACAAGGTTCCAGGGTCTGTGAATATTTTCTGTCGGCAAAGCGAGAAAATTCTTAGTTGAAATGCTGGCTTTGGACAATCTGCTGGAATTCTCACATAAGTCTCTGAAGTGGGAAATCCCTGCTTTGATACCCTCACTGATCTTTGGCCTCTGTAACAGAGCAGCATCTTCTTCTATACTGCTGTAACAACATGGTAAACCTGCAGCTCATAACAAATGAGCAACAATACAAAAGCTAGTTTGAATATAAGTGTCCAATTAAAATTATTTTAGAATGCATTTGTGTTGGTGGATGGCAGGCATATTTACAATGTATTAAGCCATTCTAAGTAATGCTGCAAAGCACCAGTGTGTTTCTCATGGGGTGCTAGCACAAGGTTTTTCAAGCTCTGGAGCACACATACATACACTAGTATGTTCCTACTCAAAAAACACAACCAAACCCAAGTCTTAACCCCCTTGCTATATTACCTTTGCTTTTCTTCTCTACCAGGCTTTCAGGGTAGTAGAGTACATGTAAGAATTTGAGGCATTTCAAATGCCATCACACAGCTGTAATCATCTATTTTTGCTTTGACTTCTTGCTCAACAATACATTTGTTTCCACTGCTTCACCTGAAGCTTCTGACTGAATAAAACTGTAAAGCAAGCTGCAAGTTTATGGACTTTAATCTACAATTCGGATACATGGGCCCCTCAGTTTTCTACAATTGTAACTGACAGCTATGGAGACAAGATTATAAATGAGCCAGTCTGAACAGCATTCTGGTAAAGAAGCCTGCACTGCATTAAACTAAAAATTAAGGTTTTGTTCAGGGAGAGAGAAGCATAAAATACTCAACTGTCATTGTCTCAACTGGCACTAGGATCTGTACTGAAGAAAAAAATCCAAACCCAAAAGTATGTGTTTCAAAGTTACCTAAGAACCTAACCCAACTTCTTTATTTAATTGCCCTAAAAGCCCCCTTGGTACAGAAACCAACACAATTAAAATAAACTGGTTTATTCAGGGTGAAAAAAGAAAAAAGCAGTTGAATTTCTAAAAGTAATTAAGGGGAAGGGATGACGTTTGACAACAAACGGGACAGGACCAGTCCTTAAAGGACAAATCATTCAATAGCCAGTTGGAATGAATCTGGTCCAACGTTTAAGTGTTTGTATCAGCCTCTGAACTGGTATTCTCGTGGAAGTTAACACATAATAAAAAAAATCTTATTCTAAACCCTTTATGGAATGAGAAAACCTTTCAAACATCTCCCTTCTAAATTAAAGCTGTACCTGTGATTTGTCTTTTGTTCCTTTAATTCTAAGACTCAAACACCGTAAGTTAAGGTTATTTTTCTTCTGTATGAGCAAAGATGAAACTGAATGACATCTTCCTATGACAGCTCTGTGCATAGGTCTCTGACATGAGCATGAAACTCTTTTGGGGGTAAAAGTCACCTACTGGGCACTAGTTTTGGACATACTTGGCAAACAATGGTAGTGGAGTTGGCCATGTAATTTATGACATATGTGCTCCTGTTATTTTTTTATAGCTGCCGTCTTTTACAATTAGATCTTCTGAGTTAAACTCTGAATCTAATGTTAAATACAGATTTCATATCCCAGCTATTAATAATTTACAAGAATAATTCTTAGCTTGCAGATTGTCATGAGACTTCAGCCCTCAGCTTCCTGGTTTTGTCTGGAAATAAGAATTTGGTGCTACCTTTTTCTCAACAGAATATTTTATATTCTAGCACTGTTAAGATTTATTAAGGCAAGTTGTAGAATACACACAAAAGTGAATTTTAAATACTCTGTTACCATTCATCTGAAAAATGCACAGGAACAGAAATCATAGTTCACTGAAAAATGCACTGAAGTTATTTTCTCATCAGACTTCCTGCCTTACCTAGTAAAAAGGGCAAAACAATTTTTCCCCTGAACAACCAATAATGTGAATGGATTCTATATATGGATTTGAATAATCTTTTTAAGAAACTCAAACCTTTCTAAAAACTTCTTTTAAGTCAAAACATTTTTCATCCTTTTGTCAGTTCCCACAGGTACATTTCTCCTAACCGTATCCATCATTTGACTGAGACATTTCTAAGTCAGTTTTGGTTTTTATTTGTAACAACTAAAGATAACAATTATACCTGCATGAAGCTGTGACACTCTGTTACAAATGTTCCTTTGGTGATCTGCTTAAATTTATCACAAATGTCAGGGAAATTCGTGGCTTCCAAAATAAACGCTTGATGTTGCTTAATTAACGTTAAGGCCACACGGAAGATGATCTTTGATCCTTCATAGAACAAACAATCCCATATTCGGAGCACAGTCTGCAGGAAAGGAGAGAATTTCAGATTACAGCTTCTTGATTTCCAGTAGGTAATTTTCAAATGAAGTAACAATTATGAGTGTGTGTTAAGAAAACTTCTTAATAAGAGTTACACAAGAATAAGAGAATTACCTCTACTGGAAGAATGTCAATGAACAAGCATATAAACCAGCGTGACACCACTAGGGTCCACATGACTCCATGTCTTTCCATCAGCTCTGCCACAGCCGGAACTTTCATTTTCACAAGTTCTCCAAGGACTTCCTGATCAGTTTTCAGGCCCAACATCACAGGACTGTAATAATCTTGGAGAGAAGAAATCAAAATTCAGCAATGTTTAGACATGATCTTGCCACAAAACTGAAGAGAATGAATGTCCTGTGCAGCTCAATATACGAAGGTATGTTGAGCTGATGATCCCAAGCTGAAGTACATTAAACCATGGAACAAAGATGTCTGCATTGTGGTCAGACAGCAGTTCTTCAGGCGAGGCTGATCTCCCTACACAAACACTTCATTCAAGTGTACCAAAGAATCTTCTTTCTCTCTAATGTTTTTTGGCAATTCATTCTTCCTTCCCCAGGAAGGATAATATAGGTAGTTTTTAACTGCTAGCTTAAATTACTAAAGTATTGTTAATATTTAACCAGTTCAGTGTAACTACTACCACCACCTTTGGGGGGGGGGGGGGGGAAGAGGGGCTACACACCTCCCTGTTCACACAATACCCAGACAAGAAACAAAACCACAAAACAACCCGTAGCCTTGAAGACTGGGTCCAGTCACAAACTAAAAATGCCAGTTTCTGAGAGTGTCAGCTGTGCAGGAGTGCTGAAGACCAGACATCACTTCTCCTGGGGTATGACCTAGTCCTGAGGAGTCTTTCTTTCTTTCCTCTGAGCAAGGAAATCACACTTTTCACAAAATAATTCCAAGAGGATGTGAATGATAGGTCCCTCAGGCAACATCTCTTCCTACTTTATTTATCTGCAAGACAGGTTGAAATTAGACCTATATCTCCCACACACTGCTGGTTATTGCACTAAACTGTTAAATCCCAAAGAACAATGGAGCACACTACAACTGTTACCCCACAGCCTCCTTGTCAGGTGATTTTTTTCATTACTGAAGTGCAGGCTGAATAACAAGCATCTCGGTTCTATAAACACATAGGTCTGGGTATCCTTAAGGGAAGAAAAAGATTCTTGTCATTTATAAGAGTTCAGATGGCCCAGCTAGGGACAAGAATTGCACAGATGTTTAAGAAATTTGTATTTGGGGTTTAGGTATTGATAGAAACACTTAAGCTGGACTTGATGGCTCCAGCCCTGGGAAGCAATCCTTGATGCTTCACTGAGAAGGCTCATATAATAAACATTATCTACTGGAAGAAATAATTAGTACCACGAGCACTTTTCAGTGTGTTTCTTTCCTTCACGGATTCTGGAAAGCTGCAATTCAGGTTTCTCTAACTTAGCTGCTTTCTGCCAAGGTCTCCAGACCCATACTATACTGTGGCCAATGGTTCACAAAAAGGTGAAGGAATCAGCGCAAAGTCCATTTGTCTGAAGCAACTGTAATAAAACCTCCCAGTGCCACAAATAAGTTTAAGAGGAAGCTCAAATTATGCAGTACATTTATAACCTCATTAATTTCTCTACTGAAATCACAAGAGCAGTTTAATATTCCACTCTTTCCTGGGACAGTGGTTTTCTTGACCAGAATGCCTGCCCCAGGAGCTATTTGTTCTACATTTGTCCTATCCAAACTGCAAAACATTTACAGTTTTTATAGTATCAAGGAGCATTGCATTCAGCCTTTAGAAATCCATCTTTTTGTCTCTGATCCTTATTTTCTTTGTTCCCATTGAAGAATGACAAGTAAAACTCCTCTACAGATGTTAGGTGTCACTGCCACTGTATACATTCCTTCAACCATTTGCCTTTCAATTGCTTGGAGGGAAAGCTCTGAAATCTAAAGCACAAGTAATCCGACAAAAAAGTGTACTAAAACCAAATCAGTCACACCATCACCTCAAAGTCAACACAAGCTTCTCTCTGTGTATTTTGTGTTAATGTGGTGCTCATTTGTAAACTAGAATACAGGTAAAGTATCATTAACTGTCCGAGTAACCCTTTTTTAAATACCTAGTTTAATGTAAGTGAAAAATGAATCACATTTCAAACAACTGACCAAGCCTTCTTCCCTTTCCTACCCTTCTTCCTCCTCTTGTACACCCACAAACCATTTTCTTCTCTTTTTTGTGCTCCTAAGACATACGAGTACTTAAAGTTAGCACCGGTAAGTGTCCTCAGGAGGAAGGACAGCAGCCCACATGCTTTCTGCTCTGCTGCAATCATCTGATACACTGAAATCAACAGCAGCTGCTATTTTTAATTTGTACTGCAAAGTGAATGTCAGGATTTCAGTGAGGATGTAACTGGACAACCCAGCCAGCTTTCTGAGAGCTGGCAAGTAAAAAGTTAACAGCCAGGCAACTCAGATACGTCACTCTTTGAATTACTGAAGCAGCTGGGAAGCCTTGGCATAAATAAGAATTTCACTCCAGTTTGTTAGATTGTACTGCTGGACAGAAAAGAAAAAGGAACTATTCATCTATCTGGGGCTGCCTCCTGCAGTCTCTCATGGAGCAGGAGGGGCTCCATGTGCCCTGCTGCATAGCACCGCAATGTTCAGCCCAGTGCTGCTGCAAAACAAGCGGGATGAGTGATTAATGGTTTTATGCAAATGTCAGTGACTGAGAAGCAGGGTTTTCCCAGGATATTTGCTGCCGGTTCACAACAGAAAGGAGTTACATTAAAAATATCTGCATCCAAAACATTCTTACATGTAATTATAACATATTAATTACAGTTACCGTGGGTATTAATTACAATTATTACATGTGATTAATATGTAATTATAAGTTAATATAATTTTACGTTTATACAGAAATGTATGTATATAAAATTAGCTCCTCGAATTAGAAAAGCTGCATTCCCAATCCTTTAGAAACATTCCTTCAGGACCCTGTATTTGTGCACAACTTGTCCACAGATGATTTACAAGGAACGTAACAGCACTGCAGTGGCCCAGGAGGTAGCACAGACCTGACCTTAGGGATCTAACATCAATCTTCTGAGAGGACAGCATTACCCCGGCGGGGAGCCAGACCTTCAGGAAGAGCCACTCCAGAGCACAGCCAGCAGCACCCACACCTGCATGCTGCCCAAGGGACACACACCAAGTCATAAGGGCTGCACAGGGATTGCCAGAACTACAAAGGCAAGTCATCTCTGGCAGTGTTCAAGGCCAGGTTGGACAGGGCTTTGAGCACCCTGCTCTAGTGGAAGGTGTCCCTGCCCATGGCAGGGGGGTCGGAACTGGATGAGCTTTAAGGTCCCTTCCAACACAAACCATTCTAGGATTCTATCATCCTGCTATCAAGCCACCTTTCATGGTCCATGTCTGGCCTCACTAGTGAAATGATTTTGTAACTTGGTTCAGTGCCTAAGTGCTTGGTAACATTTAACCTACATGGCTCTTCTGTTCTTACTTGCTAGGGATGCCAAGTCCCTAGGTCTTCTGGAAATGTCCCCTCAGGAAAAATCCTGCAGTGCTCCCTTCCTGCAAATGTTTCACCATGTGCCCTTGTTTCTCAGTCTTTTATAATTGGCTGCTCTGCCCAGAATCTTTCCCAAAAGTCAAGATATCCTTGTTTATAAACAAGTCTACACAAGCCTAACCCTCCCCACTCCATAAAGTCATTTTTCACAAGATACTGTGCAGCAAATTATTTTTACCTACCTACCACCAAAATACATTAGCTGTATATTCCTTCCATTATCTTCCAAATTATTCAAAATGTACAGATTTGCATGATCCACATTTAATTAGCATAGCCCTTATTTTACCTTCTCAATAATCTGGCAAAATAATGAGCAGTTGATGATCCAGAAACGGATTCGAGTCAGCAACTGTGCCAAATGCGCCACTAAGTAAAAAAAAAATAAATAATCAAATATAAGCTAATTATATTGTGCATCTATTGATCTAGATTGGTTTATAGGAATGTCCTCTGACAACAGATCATCCCCTTGAAAACACACATAGCCAGATTGCTTCCTTTTGTTCCTCAAGTTGTTAGCATTATCACTTTCATTTGACATTTAGGTGACCGAGCACTACATTACCTTTCATTGCATTTTCTTCTGTAAGACCAAAAATTAAATAGTGCATCATAAATAATTATATTATTATTAAATTATTATTATTAAATTTCAGGAAATACCCAAGTGAAAATTACATTTCCTGATACAAAAACTTCATGTTTCTAAGCTCTTCCATAAACTGGTCCTAGCCTTTCCTTATTTTCCTCTCAGCTTTCCTTTGTCTATTGCCTGCCCCTACACACCCAGTTCACCGAGTCTGTTGCTCCTGGTGCCTGCCTATGGATTTTGAATGCCTTGCTAAATTTAGGAGCACCCAAGAGTGTAGCAAAGGGTAATGCAGGCAGCACCCCACGTGAAATTTGCCCTACTGAGTGATCCTTCCTCATCAAAGTCCTGACCCCAAACAGCAGCACAGTCCCCTGGCTCTGCTGGGATCATCAACTTCTTTTCTTGTAGTCAAACAGCAAAAGGAGGAAAAGCCAGCTTTGGTAACTGCCAGTTATTTCATTGCTACTGTACAACACAGGTGACCAGATGAAGGGACTTTTTTACTTGTTCAAAGGGCTTTTTGTTAGCAACACTGTGGCATGCTGTCACTGAGCTTGAAATCTGTTCTAGCTCAGCATCTGGCAAAGAGATATTCCTTAAACTACATTTCACTGTCTCCCTGTTGCATAATTAGCACCTCTCTGAATCCTACCAGGATGTCCAGGCCTAAGACATAACTGTCTGCTTGTGCTCTAGAGCAGTAATGAGATTTGCAGGAAATAAGGATAAAGCTTGTAGGGACTGTATGACCTTGTTCTCTGTTACAAATAGATTAAGAGGTTCCAAAAATAAAAGTTTAAGAAGCAGTATTCTTATAGCCTTAAATTACCTTTACAAGTCAGAGCTGTAAAAGTTAAAAAAAGAATCCTTCAAGTCTGTTGTGCATATGTCAGGTTAAATGTAAATACTCCTACTGGAACTAACATGAGAAGAATTCTTAGTGTTACAGAAATACCTCAGACAAGATCCTAGATCTGCTGCTTATCTTCCAGCATTTCTAACTATTATTTCAAGAGCCTATATAATCTAAACCAAGTGTGATTCAATTTGGCAATCTAATTTATTTAAGCAAACCTAAAAATTAT